ACGGATAAAATGATTTCCTTATATGGAATAGTGGTTACGAAGGAATATATTTAATAATAATAAAATACATGCGTTAATGTAATTTTTTATATGTATGGGTATAAAAGTTTCTCGGGTACCAACTGTTCGAGATGAGCCGAACCCAATAATAACGGGATTTTAAAGAACATTTATATATATATAATAAAAAATTTATTATATAAAATTTAACAATTCTTTATATTTTTCAAAAATTACAATTATTAATATCCCGCTAATACGAGGGTATTTATTCGACTTATCTTGAATTTTTTATTTACCCACACATTTTTAATTTAACTCATGTAATCACATTGTTAAAAGATAACATTGTTGAAAGACTATAAAGAATTTTGAAAAAAAATGTAAATCGACAAAAATCGATAATATTCGTTAAATATAATCTCATAATATCTGCATGTATTTTATTATAGAAAAATGTATATACATATAAATTAATAATTAAAAATATTCTGCAATAGCGGGATGTCCAATACCTAAAAATAATTTTAAAATAACAGTTAGAAAATTGAATATATACATTCGTAACCATATTTTTGTTAGAGCAATCATTGAAAAACTATAACAAATTATTTGTATAAAACTTAAATTTGTTCACTTAATAATTTGAATTTAAACAAATAATAATTATATATCCATATCAATCATATAATAATTCTTATTGTTATTAAGACAATACTATTACAAATATTATTGTTACTAGTAGGAGAACATATAAAACAAAGAAAGCGAAAATTGTATGCTAAAATATACCACTGAATTAATTTTGCAACTTAACTTTAAAATATGTGTAGTAATTCTCATTGACTAATTAACAAAATTATTACTATCAGTAACTGCAAACGAGAAAACCCGGGTTTAATTCCAATCCTGTACAAGAATCTCCAAAGAGACACCAAACTAGACTACGCGACTACGGACTTCACGAAAAGCGACAAGGAATAATTTTCCATGATGAAAATAATTACGACTTTCCGGTACAAACCACGTAATCACTGGCATCCATCTGACTAGTAATTAATAAAATTACATTCGTTACCCCAATAAAAACATTAATTTATCACTCACCAATTCGACGCGCAGCAGTGGAGTTATATCAGCAACGTCGCTACGATGATTTTGTAACAAACAAATTAAAATCCAAATTAAAACAGAGTAAAGAAATAATCATTACTTAAAAAAATAATTGCTATATGAACGCATGCAGTTGGCTAAAAAATAATCATGCAATTTTGAAAATATAATTTTTGTAAGCATCGAACTTTGTACCCATTATTTAATTAAATATAAAACAATTATATATTTTCTAAAATAATTATATATATTTTCTAAAATAATTATATATATTCTCTAAAGAAGATCTTAGCAAAAATAAATTTGTATAAAATTTTAAAGTATTATTTAAATTACTTTAAAATTTTATACATATTTATTTTTGCTAATTTTATTTAACAATAATTTAAAAATAATCATTTTTAAATCATTGTCAAAGAAAATGATTTAAAAACAAACAAAAAAAGGTTAATTTTATATACAAGTAAAAAATAATATTTACCGCAAGGTTGCTCCACCGATGTCCGATGTCTCTTCCAGACCTCCTCCTCCTCTCAGAATTGGGTTGACATCCTCTCGCACAGGACACTCGCGTAAAACACTCGCGAATAATATATAACTATAATCGCGCGCGGACTATAACTTGAGTCCGATAACTTGAACGGCACTCCCAAAGTAAAACGCGCGACGCGACGAACCGGCTGCGGTTCGTTCATTTTCAAGTAAATCGGCGACGAGGGTACGTTAGCTTCCCCGTTGGATTTTTACACGAAGAGGACGATTTTACTCAAATTTCTAAAAATTTATCTAGATACATCATTCAGATAGATCTGACAATTTTTAGATATTTGAGAAAAACCGTAATTTTCATGTAAATATCCTCTGGGTACTGAGCTCTCCCACCACGTCAAGGTGTACCCGTGAGAGAGAAGAAATCTGAAAAATGTTATATATATAGCTATTATCTATATTACTGTGCAATTACTGTGTAATCGGTTAACTTTTAGAAACGAATATCAAACACCCCGTGCCATCCCCACCCCAAGACCGAGCGCCAACTGTCGAAATATTACGAAGTAAAATAATATATTCTTTACATTTTTAATGTTCTCCGATTAATGAAACAATTTCATATATGTATCTAATTTTAGCAGCGCGAGTCATTTAATATGATATCATAATTACATTATGATACACTGAGAAACATATTTGACGTTCATTTTATAATTTTAAATATTTCGTATTAATTACAATGTGCTAACAAAAGGCAAGAAGTAAAAAAAGATTTTTACTAGCATTTTTTTACGTAATTGCTCGCGTAAAGTGCTTTTCACATCCCGACATTGTATTTCAATTTTTATTGCTCTCTTTTTAAATTTCTAGAAGGCGAAAATTGAAACAATGAAATGTAAAAGAAGCATTTACGCTTCTTTTACATTTTGATGTTTCAATTTTCGCCTTCTAGAAGTTTCGTTTACTCTCCCATTTCTGTTACTCTCCCATTACATCCGATTTACGCTCCGATTTTTATTTTCATCAGGGTTTAAGCGTGCGATAGTATAGCTATATATTTTCGACGAACGGCAGTCGGTCGACATGTTCACGAATCGCAAATTATGAGCATTGATGAACATCAATTCGCGATCGTAGATATTTAATTTTCGTAGATTAATGCGACACGCAGAGCGATGCGTACAACGTCTGTTTTCTTCCGAGGTCGCCGAGCGAATGCCGAAGTGATGACGTAGTCAACCGCCGCGGCACGCGGCAGTCGGCACGCTCCCCCACTCCTCGCTGCTCGCCGCGCGCCGTTGAATACACAGTAACCCAATTATTGCGTATGAAAAATATTCACAGTTTATTCAATTATTCATATTTTACACGATTTTGACAAACGAGTATCGTCGTTCATTTCGCGTTTTGCTTTGTGGCATCTCCGGCACTAGTTTAATACTATTAATGAAACCATAAAAATATATTACATCAGGCAATAGGAATCGACGCTGGTTATCAATTAGCGCAATTTTTCTTAATACTAAAAATATAAACCTTAACTTTGAACGTTTCCACTCATGGTTTGAGTCTTCATCAGCAATCAAACCATGAGTGGAAACGTTCAAAGTTAAGGTTTATATTTTTTCTATTTAGAAAAATTGCGCTAATTGATAACCAGCGTCGACTCCTATTGCCTGTAATATATTTTTATGGTTTCATTAATTGTTTTAATTAAAGGAGTCTATAAAAACTTATTAGTTTTTATTAATTTATAATTTATCGTAGTTTAATCCTATATTACTTGCGCTGTTCTTGTAAACGTAATCAATAATTGTTTGCGTGTGGAGTATTTTTGATTCCAACATTATGTCTCAATTTTTATTATTCTTTTAAATGATTCATACTTAAACAAAGGCTGATAATATTCTATATATCTTTTATGAAGATACATGCAAATTTTCTTAATATTGCGAAACAATTTGCGCTCAATACAGCTTTGGTTAAAAGTATTAAATATCTTGTTGATCATTATTTAATTTTTTAGCTAAAAAATTAATTTATGACACTACTATTGCAGCAAATTATTCTATGTGTTTCAAAAATTCTTTAAACTTGCATATAATGCCGATAATACCGATGGTTCAGTAAAATAACTGTTACAACTTATTTAAAATAAAAAATATAAAATAAATTTCAGAAATTTATTTAAAATATAAAATCGTAGGAATCAGTAATAGAACCTGATACGATTTATTTAAAATATAAAATATAAAATAGATTCAGGAAACTTATTTAAAATATTAAATAAGAAATAAGTTAGAAATCTTGTTACTTGAAATAATAAATACTAAAATAACTCTTTTATTTTAGAATAAGACGTGAATGATTTTGTCATTTACGTCTTATTCTAAAATAAAAGAGTTATACTCTATTAATTATGTTTGGTAAAAACGAGCTGAAAGTTTGCATAAAGAAACATAACTTCGTAATTTTATAAGATACTATAAGACAAAAATTCACTAAATTAACTTGTTTGATTATTATAAACTGATAATCATTTATTGTAACACAATTAAACTAAGATATTCATAAGCTGCGTGAATGCGTAAAGAATCTAAGAAATAAAGTAAAAACCGTGCAATAAAGCTTGATCGGAGAACATTAAAAATATAAAGAATATATTATTTTACTTATTTTTGTAATATTCGTTATATTATTTCGACAGTTAGACGGTTGGCGCGCGGCCTTGGGGAGGGGATGGTACGGGGTGGCACGGAGCGGCGCGGCGCGTCACGTTTACGCGTAGTTACTGCGCAGTCATTCTATTCCCGAGGCTCGTTCAGGCAGGTAGTTGTGTTGCGTGCCGCTTTTCGCATTTCTTTTTAAAATGTAATCGCGATAAATATATAATACGAATCGTCGCATTTTAGATTCCAAAAACTTACACAAAATATTTAATAAGAAAGAGTCAGAAAAAGATTATTTAGCCCTTAAAATTCAACAACTTTTAGGCCTGTTCTTTTTGCCTGAACTTTTGCACCAGTTCATCTTTCTTCCTCTTCTTTTCCTCTGGAAAGAAAAGGAAGAAAGATGACCTGATGCAAAAGTTCAGCCAAAAAAGACAGGCCTTTTATTTATATATGTAGGAGATGCGAAATTAAAATTGTTTCATTCAAAGACCCATTAAACTAACCCTCTTATGGATAGTCGGCACGCTTTTGTTCCGAGGATTTAGTACAGAGACGAACCACATCTACTGTCGGCGATATGATTTTATCGGTAGTGTCAGAAAATATATGTAGTCACGTAGTTCCTAACCTGAAAATGGATGTACTGGCGGTAGTGCACGGACGATTTCAACGGTAACAGGAAAAAGGTATGGTCTTTCTCAAGTTTCTCTCTGGTCGGAGATAATTGTTTATTATTTATTGGTCAGTTATTGAACTCGTATTTTCTGAGCACAATCAAAATATATTTGTGGAGCGATATAAATATTGTAATTCGGATTTATTTCGATTAAAAATAAATAGTATTCTATATAATCATCGTACCAAAGCAATATCGACTAGCAACGTGATGTGTAAAGTGTGAAAAATCAGCAGAACAATCTGTGACAATGAGCAAAGAAGCACGAATTTCTCCGTACGAAATGGCGCGATATCGCGAACGGTTAAGGAACCAAAAAGAATTTCTGACTGACATGCTATCCAAAATTGAGAAGCAAATACTTGCTTTACAGGTTTGTCAAAATTTAAATATTAAATAATGGTCTCATCAAATAGTTTAATTTTATTAAAAATACCTCAAATAATTTTGTAGGTTGAACGATTACATTTGAGGAACACTCTACTTGGATCAGAATATTCAGGACAAGAAATATTACCAGATGCATCAATAAAAAATAACTGTGTGAAAATTGAGCCAGTAGTAGACGATTCAAAAAATCTAACAGAACAATTAGATTTATCTGTAGCACCATCCATAAATAATTTCGAAGAAGAAACTGAAGATGATGAATTTATCTGTTGATCTGATGTCTTAAATAGATGCTAGAAATTTAATTTGTGATTACGCTATATGATACTTAAAATAATTAAATTTGTAGAGTATACAAATTTTTTATAAGTTTGTATAAGATATTTAATAATAAAAATGATTATATTGTCTGTGCATTTATTTTTGTTACTTACAATTTATATGTATTTACAGGACATGGTCTTACAAAATATTGTGTTTGGCTTTCTAGTTGGAGGATTTAAAGGAATACAGCAATAAGAAAACAACATAAAATATTATTCAAACTTAAATCTAAGACTTCCATGCTGCATATAAATTTAACATTGGCAAAAGAAGATGTTCAAGAGATATTCTGATGCAAAGCACATTGAACATCATTATTTGAACATTTCATTCTAATTTGAAAAAAATCTAAAGAATTTGGTTGTACATTATGATGGATAGCCCTGCGGCGGTGGACCAAGTTGTGATGGATCTTCAACCAATGCAGGTGGTTTGAATTGTTCAGCAGAGAGACGCGTAAAACAAATTCCTACACCCTCTATCAATGCTAAAAGCACTCCACCAATGATTGCACTGCCTACCATTGCTGGTAGCCCGTTTCTTGCTGCTAAAATTCCACCAGTTGCTGCGCCACTAATGATAGAGTTATAAGGATCTTCCTTTCCTCCTCTAAAATGGACTAATGTGCAATCAATTGTGGAAAACATTCCGCCCCATACAGCAAAATTTCCAGCGATAATAGGTGCTCGTTGCCTAATCGCTACAACACTGCCTGTGAAACGCTGCCTCCATCCACTTGGTGCATTACGGAAACCTTTAATACTTTGGAAGATTGCTCCGCCTATGACACCCATTGTAAAGGCACCTCCGCAATCGTCAACTATCCGCCAAGGACATGGTTCTCTTGCATATTCCTCCATATCTTATCTGCAGCAACCATGTAAGAATAACAATTATTTAAAATAATATAGTGGATTAATATAACTTTCATAAAACAAGAATAATTATTAAAGAATTATTGCAAAGATATTTTTATTTCATTGCATTCTATACTTAATAATTATTTATTGTATACTACTTAATGTTATTTAAGTAATCTATATTAAAATCTCGAGATTACTTTAAAAAAGAATTAAATTTATATTTTGGACATTCAAAAATATATTTCAAATAACGTGTTATGCAAGAATGTACATTTATATACATCTTGCTAAAAGACAATTACGAAAACTATCACAAAAATTACGCGATAAGTGAGGTTAGAATAGAGTCTCGTACAGTTTGAAAGCTAATTCACACGTAACATCTTCGAATATTCTATCACATATTAAAAGCAAATAGTTTTCTTAAGAAAAAAATAATTTATCTTTATATTTACCGTATAATTTGTTCAATAAAAATCTTTAATTGAGTTGCAAAAGGCCAAACACACGACACTTCGTCCACTAAGTACGTGAAAGAATATGAAAGGGTAGATACTTCGATATTCTGACAAATAAACGTCTTCACTGTATCACCGACGGTAGACAGAAGTTAGATAGCAAATTAGTCGACCTTTTTCGTGAGGCCATCAGAATCCCGTAAACCAGCGCACGTCCATTTTAACAGTATGAAAACTACAAATTAGAAAGGTATGTACATCTATTTTGTCAATAAAATCGTAATATCGAAAAAGATAAGGTGAGATAAAATGCATGTCCATGCTAATAAAACATACGGAGTAATACATTATCACAAGTCACAATTGACACACATACCCTTGTCTTTAATTATTCTATTTTATCAAAATGCACTTATGCTGGATTCACACTGCATCCGATTTGCGTCGTACGACACTCTGCAACCAATCAGAAAACGGGATTCCGATGGATTTTGCTTCGTATCAACGGAATCCTATTTTCTGATTGGTTGCAGAGCGTCGTACAACGCAAATCGGATGCAGTGTGAATCTAACATTAGGGCCGATCTCACCAACTGCGATTAATCTAATCGGTCGATTGTTAAGAGCCCAGACACAAGCTTTTGCATAACGCATAACGCATAGTGCATAAGCGAATCAACTAATCAGAAGCTTTCCTTTCCTCACATTCCATGGAAAAGAAGAATTTCGATTGGTTGATTCCCACCTATGCACTATGCATTATGCGTTATGCAAGAGTCTGTGCTGCGGCCTTTACATTGAAACTGACCAATCGCATTCGCTGTTCAGCAGAATTGACCAATCATGGTCGACACTTAATCGACCGAGCTTAATCGGAGTTGGTGAGATTGGGCTTTAATTCCTGTAAAAATCTTCCAATGGTTGCGTTCAGCAGAGAAAACTAATCAGTTAGTGCTCAGTGATTCTTTAATACGATTGATTCTTGCCTTTAATTCTTCGTTGGATTTAAAATCTGTGGCACACGATGCTTGTTTTCCTATTGGACTGCTAGTTGGATTAGAATCTTGCCACCGTATTGACTACGATGCTGGCACTGACAGCACAATGGATGAGGCTTAAGAGTAAGAAATTGACTAATCACAGTCGACTATTTTTCTCACATTCAACTGTGATTGGTTAATTTGTTACTCTTGCAGTCTCATCCACTACTGCTACTACCATTGTAGACCGCGTATTATTAGGGCTGCCGCACACAATTCCGTAACAGTGACCGTAAGACGTAAACTTATATATATTGCTTTAGATTATCATAAAATCAAATTACTAACATAAAATAACTATCTTGACCTATTAATTGATATGGAAATTTCACCAGCAAATTAGTTTGTAAGCACTTTTTCTCTTATAAATATAGGTACGCTATATAAATAAAAAAAAACTCTAATGTGTTGCATTTTGAATCCTTAAAAAAAACTGATTGAGAGAGAGAGAGAGAGAGAGAGAGAGAGAGAGAGAGAGAGAGAGAGGTGCCCCTTATATTCTGTAACTTTTAATAATAATGTAACGATCACATAAAGACTGTCATTAAAAGATACAGATACAAAATAAGGGTCTCTCTCTCTCAATTAGCTTTTTTAAAAATTCAAGATACAACACAGAATTTTCTTTTATGTATCAGAATTTTCTACCGCCTGAGTTACAACCATTTTAATTGCTTCAATTGAATTTATGATATTATGCAGAACACTTTCTCAGAGTCATCTTTTAATGCTTCGTTCTTTAACCAATTAACTTTTTTTTAATAAAAACAAATGACTTCAAGAAGAATCGCATTATGTATTAAAATACAAAAAATGTATTTAATTATAATAAATTGATTTAATTATTTTTTAATACCAAATCGGAAAATTTTGTTTGTTACTTTTTCGTTATTAAATAAGAACTACAGACAAAAAGCGAAAACAAAATTTTTAATTGACGTTATTTCTAATAATTAAAAATATTGTAACAATTTTTAAATTTGCCAGTACTTTTATTGAAATTATTGCTATACATTATCTTGATGTTTGTGAGGCATAGTATAGAAGTGGATACTCTTTAAGTTGGCCTAGTTTCTAAGAGAGGGTTGTATTATGTATCATGTTGTATTATGTGCTGTTTCTTTACTATATCCATTTATAGATAGATTACATCAGTGCATTATGACCTTATAATTAACGTATCTATATTATGACGTTGTAACTGTTGCATCTCACATCATCGATTTTCCAAAGAGCAAAAAGTCTAACAAGATACGTGTCAATGAGAAACTCCTTGTATACAATTAGAAAATGTACGTAATGATATAAAATTCTCCAATTTATTTAGGTTTAGTTTTATATCAAAAGAGGTAATTTTGAAAAATAATAAAATAGCAAATTCTATTAGTATAATTTATTTATTTATAATGTGCAATTAAACATATATAATTTATTGCAATAAGTAATACTTCACAAAAGCCTTATTATTTATTAAATATTATCTGGTCATCAATAACGATTTTTGATAATAAAATCGTTATTGATGAGCAAGTTATATTTAACAAATAATGATGCTTGTGGCGCAATATTATTTATTACAGAGTAAATTGTATAATTGTGCGTTATAATGTATTATATGGGAAATCAATG